GTGCAACTAATTGATATACAGTAGCCCAATTATTCCCTCCTTTTTTCTACTTTAATTTACTCTACTTCCAGGACCATTTCTTCTGCTAATACTACTCTGAAACTTCCTTCTTACCTTCCCCAGAAGGAAATAGACATTAGACTCTTTAGGAACTATCTCCTTAAGCTGATTTAGCTCTGCGAGGGCTTCTTGATGGCGATCTGTTGCGTGCAAGATAGATGCTCTGTGATATTTACAAAGTGGATTGCGGGGTTCTACAGCTAGTGCACGGTTCAGCGTCGCAAGTGCTGCACTACTCTTCTGAAGAGCATGCTCCACCTAGGGAAAGGGAAAAAGAAAGATCTTAATCTTTTGTTCTTTTAAGCGATTCTGAATGCGTCAGGTTACTGGCTTCCCTGCATCACATAGTACAATCAAAAACTATATTCTTGGTGCTCATGAATGCAAGAAAAAAAAAGCTTGTTTTCTATAAATACATCAGAGAAGGAGGAGGAAAAAGAGGAGGAAGAGGAAGAAGAGAGGAAGCACAAAGGAATAAGGAGGAGGGAGGGAGGAGGAGGAGGAGGGAGGAGGGAGGAGGGAGGAGGAAAGAGGAAAGAGGAAGGAGTAGGAGGGGAAGGGGAGGAGGAGGAATAGGAGAATGAGGAAGAGAAAGAGAAGGAGGAGGAGAAGGAGGAGGAGGAGGAGGAGGAGGAGGAGGAGGAGGAAGAGGAGGAGCAGGAAGAAGAAAGGAGGAGGAAGAAGAGAAGAGGAAGAAAGGAAAAGGGAGGAGGAGGAGGAAGAGGAGGAGGAGGAGGAGGAGGAGGAGGAGGAGAAGAGGAGAGGAAGAGGAGGGAGGAAGAAGAGGAAGAAGAGGAGGAGGAGGAGGAGGAGGGAGGAGGAAGAGGAGGGAGGAGGAGTTGGAGGAGGGAGGAGGAGGGAGGAGGGGAGGAGGAGGGAGGAGGAGGAGGAGGAGGAGGAGGAGGGAGAGGAGGAGGAGGAGGAGGAGGAGGAGGAGAGGAGGAGGAGGAGGAGGAGGAGGAGGAGGAGGAGAGGAGGAGGGGGAGGAGGAGGAGGGGGGGGGGAGGAGGAGGGGGAGGAGGTGGAGGAGGAGGAGGAGGAGGTGGAGGAGGAGGAGGAGGAGGAGTTGAAGGAGAAAGAGGAGGAGGGAGGTTAAAGAGGGAGGAGGGAGGTTTAAAGGAGGGAGGAGGAGGGAGGAGGAGGAGGGAGGAGGGAGGTTAAAGGAGGGAGGAGGGAGGGAGGAGGAGGGAGGAGGAGAGGGAGGAGGAGGAGGAGGAGGAGGAGGAGGAGGAGGAGGAGGAGGAGGAGGAGGAGGAGGAGGAGAAGAAGAAGAAGAAGAAGAAGAAGAAGAAGAAGAAGAAGAAGAAGAAGAAAGAGAAGAAGAAGAAGAAGAAGAAGAAGAAGAAGAAGAGGAGGAGGAGGAAGAGGAGGAGGAGGAGGAGGAGGAGGAGGAGGAGGAGGAGGAGGAGGAGGAGGAGGAGGAGGAGGAGGAGGAGAGGAGGAGGAGGAGGAGGGAGGAGGAGGAGAAGGATGAGAAGAAGGAGAAAGAAAAGGAGAAGAAGGAGAAGAAGGAGAAGGAGAAGGAGAAGAAGGAGAAGGAGAAGAAGAAGAAGAAGAAGGAGAAGAAAGAGGAAGAGGAGGAGAAAGGTGAAGAGGAGAAAGAAGAGGAGGAGGAGGAGGAGGAGGAGGAGGAAGGACAAAGAAGAAGAAGAGGAGGAGGAGGAAGGAGAAAAAAAGAGGAGGAGGAGGAAGGAGAAAAAGAGGAGGAGGAGGAAGGAGAAAAAGAGGAGGAGGAGGAGAAAGGAAAAAGAAGAAGAGTAAGAGGAAGAAGAGAGGGAGCATGAAGAGGCAGAAATGGATGAGAAAAGAAAAACAAACAGGGAAAAAATACTTACCACAGCCACATGGCACATGAGAACAGAACTATGCGGGTGAATACCAAGTGCTTTCTTGAAATGAGACTCTGCTTGAGCAAACCTTTCTTGCTTGAACAGTACTAAACCAATACCATACCTGTGGATTAAGAAATAATAAAATTAAAATTCATGCAACTTCAATGTGTAATCAAACCATCATAAACTCTATGGTCCTTATATAATAATCCAATTTACAATATAGGCAACATGACAACTGTGACAAACTCACCATGCATTGTAGTGCCGTGGATCTATTCTGACAGCACTTCTGTAACAACTCAACGCCTTGTCCAACTCTTCTGTTGCTATGTGCTCATGGCCCAACAAAGTGTAGGCATATGCAAAGTTTGGATCAACCTAAGAGGGAATAAAAATGGAAATCTTAAGGAAATCACAGAAAAATTAACTGAGGAGAAATAACTCCTGTTTTCATCACTTTTACAGTGGCCGCAAGCCAAGAGCACAGAGAGCACCTGATTTTTCCTTCAGGCGGCTAACTCCACTTGTACCCTGATGCATTGTTCAGCATGACCATGGAGGCTCCCACTGCCATTGGCTTGAACTACTAGCATGACAAGTCAAGAGATTCATATGATATACTGTTGCTTCCTTGTTAGATCAAATACATATTAATCAATATGCATCACAGGAATTTTACCTTGACACTATTCACATCAATACCATTATTTTGCATCACAGGAGGATCTAATTTAAGTACAGATTTGGAATAGCTTGTTCACCTTCGTAAAGTTCTTATTTCCATGGACACAAATATAATACCCAACAAAGTATGATTGTTTTAAAGTACTTCTAACCTTTGGCTAATAACTAAATGCAACTGCTAACACAACATAAAACTGCAATTATAGAAAAAGAAAAATGTATCAATTTCCAAAACTAATACAAGAGAGGTTACAAGTCTTACTTCTTGATAGGAAATACTAAACCAAGAAAATATTTTCCATATAATTAGTTTGGCTTCCATTCAGTTATCCAAATAGATGTCATACGAACACTTAGAACCTGAATTTAAAGACACTCCCTTCAAATCAATCAAACATCAATCAATATGGATAGAATTCTATGCGATACAATTAGTTTGGTCTCCTTTGATAGAAATTCTGAGACTAAAGGTCTACCAAAATATAGCACAAAAGGAATACAGAAATAGCAACTTAAAAAAGTTACAGTTCACTAAATCCAAATTATTCTACTTTCACCCATTCATAACTCAGAAAAACCTATCACAGATCTACTCGCATCATGTCTATTTCTAGTTAGCTATAATGAGTTCTGAGCTTAGATGCGAGCCAGGTAATTCTCCAGGCAGAGAGCAATATGTACTAATACACCCCATCCCCCCTTACTTTACTAGAAAGTTCACCTTTCAAGACTAGAACTCCTCACCTGAATGGCTCTTGAGAAAAACCTTATTGCAGCTTCATGTTCCTTCTGGAGAGAGAAGCAGTTCCCAGTCGTACACCAGGCTTGGGGACATTCCCTGTCTTCCTCTATCAGATCCTGTAAGAATTATGAAGGGTAATTTATCACTCTTTGTTAACCCATTAACCCATAGGATCCAGTTGCTTCACGGCAATCACATAGTAAGCTAGTGCTCTTACAGTCATGGCTATCAAACACTACAGTCTACACTCATCTATCCATGGAAATAAAGTGAAAAGCCCCTTTCTAAATGCTACATGAGTCTAATCACCTTCCAAGAGGTTTGAGCACTTGTGGCGACTTTTTGGTCTTCAGCCAAAATGTTCACAATGATGAGTTCACACCATATGAAGGTCACAACAACTGGATCGAAGGAGTTCATATGAAGAAAAAAATACTCTCAAAAAAGAAGACACACATACAGATACAGCACAACATCAAAAATTATTACCTGAGCAAGCGCTGATAGCTGGACTTCTTTCTGCAAGTGCCATAGAGCTGTACTATAATACTCCATAATATCCAAACGATGTGGTTCTCTTTCTCTAACTTCACTGAAGTATCTGCAATACAACAATAATTATACTTTTCTAAATATCTACTTCAGTTGTTTCAATCTCTGAAGTCATGGTTTATTAAAAGAAAGAAAAAAGTATGAAACTGCACAAAAATATATACTGCCACACCCATTAAATCAGACTAATATTCTTACAGAGCTGTATACAGTCAAATTAATAAATCAATATTTCTTAACCTGATGACAATAGGTTTTCCTTATGTTATTAACCTGAGCAATCACCTGATCAAGTGGAAAATTAACATACACCTACCAGCCTCTCTACAAATTTGGCTGTAGTATACTTTTTATGAAGCTAAACAGTCTTCAGACCTATTTTTGTGGGGCTATTAAATAGTCTTCAAACCTATTTCTGAGGGGCTATTAAATAGTCTTCAAACCTATTTTTGAGGGGGTATTAAATAGTCTTCAAACCTATTTTTGAGGGGCTATTAAAACTTAAAGACTGCATGTGGCAGTCAAGACAAGAACAGGAATCATCCACCTTTGATTTAATATGCTTATTTTGTCAGCAAATATCTAACAAGGATAATTAGTCTAATCTATAGGTGAGGCAGTAATGTCTAATACGCCTATGCTTAATTGTGTTCATACTTACTTTACTGCCTGTTGATAATTGTTCATCTCAAAGTGTGCCTTGCCAATGTGTGACAAAACCCAGCCTGTGCGGTAGTGTTGTGTGGGGAGGGCAGTAAGTAGCTCTATAGCACGGGCACAGTTGTATTGTGCTAACTGCTGATATGCTGCACCCATATCCCGAAGAAGTGCCATCAAACCCTCTGTTTAAAATACATCTTACTTAACCAAATAGAAATATAATCAAAATTACTTTTAATACAAGTATAAAAGTAAATTATCTTAAGTTACACCATTCACTTATAATCAATTATCATCAATTAATACATACAAGTCTGCATCTCTAAATTCCTGCTTTACTAAATCAATGAACTTCAATAACACTAATTTAAGTACCAATCACAGCATATTTCAAACATACCAGCAGACTGTTTCTGTATAGTGTGTGCTTGTTGTGCAAGATTCTGAGGTGTGGTTGGCTTCTCTAAAAGTGGTTTGTCTGACGGCGAAATTATGTCTTGGTTCTCGCTCTTGTTCTTCTCATTTAGCTCTGACAAGCTGGACTGACTTTTGGAGGATCGAGTTTTTGCTTTCCTAGCAGGAGATTTTGGTGCTACAAAGCGGCTTTTGTTGTTCTCCTGTAAATAAAATGGTTTTCAGAAAACTGCACATAATAAGATCTTAATCTTGTAATCTCTTGGGGCATATACACAAGTCCTTTCCATATTACCTTTTGACTAACTGACTGCAGTGAATAAATGTCTTTTTTACAACATTTAAACTAAAACTACTTTTCATTTTTGTAAAGAGTATAGATTATATGGTACATTTTTGAGGTAACATGCTCATCTGAACAAATTTTGAAAAAGTACACCACAGACATGCAGAATGTATAAAGTACATTAACATTTGCTTTCATATGAAAATCCATTTGAGCACAATACATAAAACAGTTTCATTATTTTTCTTATGACCTGTATAACTTTATAAAAGAAATTAAAGACAAAACTAAAAATCAGAATATGTTAGATACCATATCTATTCTGAGGTATAATTCTATATGAGACTTGTAAGAGTTCTTCTAATCTAAAATAAATATTTTGCCTAAGGCATTCACAACTAATATCAAACAGAAGCTCAGTATCAAATCCAATTTGACCTTGACGTTAGCTGCAAAATCGCTTGAATCAAATTTCAGATTTCTGAACATAAGTCACTCATTACTAAAGACCACCCACTTCAACAGAAATTACTTAAACCGTCTTCACAGATCTCTTCCAATCCACAAAAACATATGTAGAACTGAGGGGAAGTCAATCTCTCTAACATTAACTGGATAACCATTTCCCCTCTTAATGCCCAGATGAGATAGTGACAAGTCATCCCCCCACAAAAAACAGGCACCTGTAATATAACTCAGTCATCCTCCCTTTATTCACTCTCAAAACATGTAGTCATACACCCACACACTACCATTCCTAAGTTGCCCAAACAGAATTAAGGACACAATAATACTGATCCACTCCAAGGTCAGCTGGTATGCAATCAAATAGATCAACTATTTCTCTTTCCTTTTCTAACAGACTTTCAACTCAAGGCTATTCTCAAAACTAGATTACGTTGTAAATACTATCTACAATGACCATAAATACTTTTATTGTCTCTGAAAACCCTCCAATAAAACAAGAAACAATTTACAGATACATGTTATACATGTATAGTACACAAATAACACACCAGAAAACATTTTAAAAAACATAGAAGTAAAGACAAGAATATCTAATCAAATATTGTATAAGAAACACTTGAACCAATAGAAAATGCAAAAGTTTTAAGTACCACTGCACTCAAAAATAATGCCTAAATATACACCAAACCACAGCACAAAGCCTAGATCATTAACCAACAATTCAAGCTTTTCTTCAAATAATATACTGCTGTGAAACCCAACATGCCACGCAATCCATACAAAGTTCTTTACAAAACACTGCTCAACTGGCCCACAGCTTGCCTCACCAATACCAATCATTGTTTTTCTTTATGATGATACATTCAGATCTGTAAATGTTCCCCAGAGCAAAGCTGTGAGCCTACTTCTTTTCCTAGTATACATCAATGATCTTCCACCTGCTCACTAATCTTTTCACCTCTTTGCATACAAGATTCACATCTACATTGCAGATATTAACCCAATGCCACCGGGAAAATGTTGTGTTAACTCCACAATTGCTTTTTAAAATGTCTCTGCACATAGATGGCTCTGCCAGCGCTTAGCCACAAAGTAGTCAATTAGTGGACCTTGTGACCTTACCTGTTTTCACCTTTCCTTGACTTTACGGGAAAAACACTTTTCTACTGCTATCAAAATTGATACTGTTATTTTTATCATAAACATCAATGTTGTTAACATTACTAATAACAATATCAAATTACAGAAAATATAAAAAAATCAAGGAAAAGGGTAAACAGGTAAGACAGGTAGTTCTCATCATTGGCTCATTGGTCATTTAGTATCTGTGGAGCCATCTATGTGTAAAAACAAATACTAAATTAAGCATACAGTGGGCATGGCATCTATGCACATTTCATGATGGGCAGCACATGGTTAAACATGAACTCAATGCCAAATGTGCAAATCTAACTTAGGTTCTTCTTCTTGTAAGAACTATTACTTTCCACAATTTACATATAATTACTACTATTTTCTCCTAAACATTATAAATAGCAACTGAGAAGACTCTTCAAAATCAGACACTTTGAATCCCAAAGAGCACACACAACATAGTAATATGTAGCTAAATGCTTACTTAATAGATATTATATCGGTTTCCTTAGCATCATATTCTTAATCCAATAATCCAAATTTCCATTTTTCAAATAAATTCAATTTTCACTCAGTAAAGTAATATAAAACAAAATATACAAAAAGACCAACAAAATCCTTCATTTCAACCCAACAATGATGGGCTTCTCACTGGTGAGAGAGCCAGACCACAGGCAGTAGCAGGCCACCTCATATGCGAGACACTTGTGTTGTCAGCTTAGACTCCAACTGGGTTGCCCACTGCGTGTGCCTAATTGTGTTCCACAGCAGTCAGTCCTTACAATAGCTACTGCCTGGGAATACGTTTTTCACTTAAAGGTACCCATCGTGCATAGGTCACACAAAAAAATATCATTTCCATTCCCAATTTTCAAACAAGAACACCATCAGGCCCAAAAAACAGATAGATAAGCCAACCTAATAAACTTAACATTTCCCTCAAGGAACAGCCAAGCTTACCTTAACAGAATTGCTGTTGCCAAAGAGTCTAGATGATCTGCGAACATTGGGGTTTGGCTGCCCAGTTGGGGGGCTTTGGAAGTTGCTATTATTCCCAGCTGGTGCAAACACTGCAGGCTTGTTTAAAACCAGGGGGGAGTCTTTTGTTGTTCTACATAATATCTGAAATTGTAAGATTAATCAATATTAAAGTAAATAAAACTCTTCATACTCCACTTGACCTGGCCATAAAACAGGAAGTAAAAATTGTATATCAGTGGAGGCCCTAAAAATACATGCAGACATGCAGCATATGAAGTTCTGGAAAACAGATACATTGGAACATTGTATAACACCTTCACAAGCTCTTAAGAAAAATACAGATAAACAAACTCTCTATTAGCATTTAAATTGTACTGAAGATGGAGTTTGAAGAACATTTTCTTTCAAGTCTATTTACAACTACTTCAATCTGAAACATAAGACTCACCCTTTTACTTATTGGTGGAGGAACTTTGGTGTTTGGTTCAGTGTCTAGCTGGGAAAGGGTGAGTGGTGAAGGCGTAAGGAAGGCCACAGAACTGTTTAGAGGTGACTGCTCATTGTCACCAACAGGGCTGGTAACATCCAGAGGTAGTACCCCAAAGCTGGGGGTCATGGGGCTCACTGACCATGGTCCTCCCAACATGCTCTTAATTCTTACAAACTTTTTCTTTTTAGGGGCCTGAAAGACTCCATCACCAGTGTCGCCACCACCTCTATCCTGCACAGGTGTGACCATTACAGCCACAGGAGTATTCTGAGACGAGATGGGTACTGGAGTACTCATGTTACTTAGGCTCTGTACTGGTGTATTAATAATGGGTAATAAATTATTGGGAGTGTTCTGAACAGGAGTTGGAATGTGAGTCTGCTGAACACCATCAGAGGGGGTATTCACTGATACACTATTTAACGTATTATTGGTGACTCCTGAGTCTGAGTTGACACTGACATTGTTTGCAGGATTGGCACTGTTAACTAAAGTTAGCACCGTGTTACCATGACAATTTGAAAAAGTTTCTAACAAGTCCAACCTGAAAACTTTCGAGGGATCAATTTTGTCCCCCTGATCACAGAGTGCAACAAATGACTGCCATAAAAATGGATTGAGCTTCAATGATCTCTTGAAAGCATCTGCTGCTCTTAAAAGTCTTTCTGTTCTAGCGCATATGAGTCCCAAGAGTTGCAGGGCAAAGCAAGCTAGGTCTCCATACTCATTCGCTAGTTCATCCACAGTCTTGGGATGAAGAACACTCCCACCCGTCAGGACTGTCTCTGCCTCCTCCAACCTGCCGGACGAAAAACAAAATGTAATCCTTTGGTTCTTAGAAACACCACTTTTAGTCTCGTCTTTTGATACTTGCCACTGCAGACTTCATTCAGAACTTAACAGATTCTTTTACCTCTCAACAATAATTACTCCTATTTGGCTGTAAGGTTAACTACAATCACATATTTCTCTATTTCTCATAAACATTCCCACATATTCAGTAATTCCTTATTCCTAGGCTCACAAAACCTAGCTCCACTAAAGGACTTATAAGGATATTAAGAAAGCATATGAAAATAATTCACTCACAACAACTAATAAGATGATTCACACATTTGACAAAATAACTTACTTCCCAAGATCGTAACAACATCTGGCCATAAGAAACCTGAGCTGCGGTGTGCGTGTGCCATGGGTGTGGAGGACAGAGTATGCTCTACCTGGTTTCCCTGACCGGTAGTAAGATGTTGCCACCAGGTGCAGCGCCTCATCTGAATCCACTGGAAGAAAGATATCAACACTGACAGTTGGGCAAATATGGGAAGCTAGGTAAAAATCTATAAATCAATTTACAATTTGCATTCCGACCTTTACAAGTACCGGGGCAAAAAAATCTGCCACACTTGTTTTTCCTGATTTTCGAAAATACAAATAATTGAAAAATCGACATTTATTTCTTTCCTGACACATCTTATCCTATACAATTTCATTATTATGCAAACAAAATAAGATGTATGTGCCAATACCATGTTCGAGAGATGGACAATTTTTTTTTTTTTTTTTTTTTTTTTTTTTCTGGTCCTTTGAGAAACTCAGTACAATGTCTAAGTGCAATGTAACTTATTAGTATCTTATTAATATACTTGTTCTGTTTTTCAAGTCAAGTACCTTTCCCAGTCGACAGTATCTGCCAT